ACCCTTTCCTATGAGTACCATGATTCCCATGTTCCAAATGAGTTTAGTTAACCTGCTCCCATGTGGTGAACCCAGAATTCTAATCCAAGTCTGACTGAGCCCACGGAGCCTGCTCTCAACACTCTGGCTTCCCCTAATGAAAATGATCAATCCGCCCATGCCCCAGGCCGCAGAGCTCAGCAGGTCCGCCAAAAGCATCAAAGGATGGGGCCAAGACTGACAGATGGGACTGGGTTAGCTGACACTGTGTCCTGTCCAAGGCTGGGCACGTAAATTTGCCTGGGGCACAGAGTCTCTGGGTAGGAGGTTTATACTGTGGGTGGATGTTTTCTGTCACTTTTTCAATATTTTCGCCCGCTGGGGAAAGGACCAACCCTGTGACACCATTCCTTCCCTGGAAGGTATTCCAAAGGGCACCACCCAGTGTTAGTGTTTTATATGAATAACCAGCTTTGGTGTATTAGGATTATTTATTTATAAAAACTGCATGAGCAATCAGCTCACTGGTTATTGTTACAAGTCTTCTTCTTCTATCCAACATTAGAGAACTGACATTGAAACAGAGGAAATAATTTAAGGCCTTTCTAAGAGATGGCGAGATTAGAACCTAGAGCTGTACCATGAAATCTTCTCAACTTTACTCATTCATAGCCGGGGACTGTCTGGCAACAGTCTCTACCCGTCTAATCTGTGGCTAACAGGACATACCTGAGAGCCAGAGAGCCCTGAATTTGCATCCAGTTCTCCCATGTGATTATAGTGCTGTGATAATAAACACAGCAACTTGTGGCGCTACCTTCACTGAGAAATGACAATGGGACAGGCTCTAGGATACATAATATGGATTATGATATCTCATCTTCATAGCAACCACATGGTTGTTTATTCCTATTTTTTTCAGAAGGGGAAACTTAAGTCTTAGAAGGGTTAAGTAACTTGTCTAAGGTATTCAACTCGTGCAGTTTAAATCCCAACTACAAACCTTGGCAGTCTAGCCCCAGAGCCTGAAGTCTTACCCACAAAGCTATGCTCAACTGCTTTTGAGCAAGACACCTGACCCTTTTACAGGTCTGTTTTCTGACTTATAAAGGGAGAGTTTCTTGTGAGGGCTCAGTGAAAGAACGCTGACTGGCACAGAACCGACGTAGAATTAGTTGCTGCCAATCAAGTGAGGGGACAGCTCAGAAACCTAAGTCAAAGACACATTGGCATCAGTTACTGAAAGAAAAGGCTCAAGCAGAGGGACCACACACATGGAACTAAAGAGAATGGAGCTCTGTCCCGGGCTATTTATTTCTGTGTAGCACAGCAGAAAGAGGCAGGGTATAAATGCTAAGAGTCACCAAGCCAACCTCAGATAATTGCCAAGGAAAATTCAAAATGTGGAAGCCACTTCTTTAGGAGTAAAACTTTAAGCCTCAGTATTAAAATAACAATTATAATAATAAGGCTTTCCATGAGCGAAAGTGGTATATTCTACAATAATGCTTTACACAGTGAAATAGGAAAGTATATTCAAAGTTTATTCTACCCCTTGAGGGAAACACAACACAGAAAGTATTTTTATCTTTGCATGGGTTTTTATTCATTTGTTTGTATGAAGGAAGGATTTATGGTGGTTTTCAAATTTTTATGAAATATAGAAAATTAATGCAAATTAGAAGGTGAAGATTAAAAATTTTAAAGGGAAGTAATATAAGACAGTTGAGAGACTGATGGAAGAATATACCCCAAAGGAAAAATAAAGAGCAGAAATCAATAAAAATGAAAACAGGTAAATAAATAAAGTTGGTTCTTTATAAAAAAAATCAATAAAATTAATAAAACTCCAGCAAGATTGACACAGAAAAGAGACAAGACAGACACAAATTACTACTATCAGGGAAAAACACATTACAAGATATTCAGGAAATACTATGAATAACTTTACTCTCATAAATTCAACAACTTAGAAGAAATGGACCAATTCCTTGAAAACCACAAACAACCAAAACTTATCCATGCTGAAAATCATCAGCTGACTAGTCCTTTAGCTACTAAAGAAAGTGAATTTGTAGTTAAAAAGCTCTAGAGAAAAAAATACACAAGCCCATTTTGATTCACTGAAGAATTTTAGAAAACATTTTTTAAAAAGAATTGTATATATTGAAATATTATGTTGTATACCTGGAACTAAGATAATATTATACGTCAATTTTATCTCCAAAATATTTTAAAGGAATTTAATACCTATTTCATATAGTGCCTACCAAAAAAAAGGAACTCTCACCAACTCATTTTATGAGGCCAGTATTACCTTAATATCAAAACCAGAAAATAATAGCACGCACCAAAAACAACAACTCCACTACAGACCAACATCTCTAATGAACTTAGACAAAAATCCTCAACAAAATTTTAGCACATCAAATTCAACAATATATAAAAAAGTAACACCCTAACCAGTTTGGCTCAGTGGATAGAGCGTCGGCCCTCAAACTGAAGGGTTCAATTCCTGTCAAGGACATGTACTTTGGTTGCATGTTCCCTGGCCCTGGTCGGGGTGCATACAGGAGGCAATCAATTGATGTGTCTCTCTCACATCGATGTTTCTCTCTGTCTCTCCCTCTCCCTTCCACTTTCTCTAAAAATCAGTGGAAAAAATATCCCTGGGTGAGAATTAACAAAACAAAACAAAACAAAAAGTAATATACCACAACTGAGTGGGAATTATTTTGTGTATGCAAGGCTAGTGCAAAGTTTTAAAAATCTATCAATATAATCCGTATCAACAGGACAAGGAAGACTCTATGGTTGTAGCAACTGATTTGAGCAAAAAAAAATTTAACAAAACTCAACATACACTCATGATAAAAAACAACAACTCCCAGAACACTTCAACCTCATGAAAAGCATCTATAAAAACCTAATATGCTTAATGGTAAAAGATGAAATGCTTTTCCTCTAAGATGAGGAACAAAGCAAGATGGCCTGCTCTCACTAATCTTACTTAGCACAGTACAGGACATTCTAGCCACTGAAATAAGGTAAGAAAAGAAAGGTTTAAAAATACAATTTAAATAGGAAGAAATAAAAGTATCTTTTTTTTTTTTTTGCAGAAGGCATGGCTAGCTACACATAAAACGCTAAGAAATCTACCCAAATCTCTTAGAACTAATAAGTGAGTTTAGTAAGGTCACAGGACAAGATCAACACAAAAATCAATTGTACTTTTAGATACTGATAATGAAGAAGTAGAAAGCAAAATAAAAAATAGAAAGCCATTTATAATTGCTTTCCCCCCGCCCCCGGCAAAAATAAAATACTTAGGCTAAAACCTAATGTTATGATGAAAACTATAAAATACTGATGAAGAAAATCAAAGTTAATCTAACTACTTGGAGAAATCTACCATGTTCATGGATCGGAAGACTCAATGTTAGTAAAAGATGCCAATTCTCCCTAAATTGTAATCTATAGGTTAAACACAATTCCAATCAAAACCTCAGCAAGTTTATTTGAAGACATCAATAAACTTATTCTAAAACTTATATGAAACGAGAAAGGCCTTGAATAGCCAAAATAATTTTGAAAAAGAACCACATGGAAGGAACTGCTCTTCCTAACGCTAAATCGTACTATATAGCCGCAGTCACCAAGTCAGTATGATATTCCCAGAGGGACAGACACACAGATCAATGCAACAGGATAAGGAATCCGGAAATAGATCCATTAGGTATGCTCAAGTAGTATTTGACAAAGAAGCAAAAGCAAATAAATGGAGGAGGGTAGCCTTTTCAACAAATGGTGCTAGAGCGTTTGAAAATGCACTGGCCAAAAAAATAATAAAGCTCAACCTAAACCTCAGGGAGCAGGTGTCCTGCTTCCCCAGGACTTGAGCTCACTTGAGGACTTGGGCCAAAGCCTCAACTAATAAAAAAATTTTTAAAAAGTGTTCCTTTACCTCATTTTGCCTTCTGTTTATGTGGGATAGGATCTAGGTGTCGGGAATCTGAGTTCTCGTCAAAGACCATTTTCCGTCTCACCCCGAGTTTTATAGTCGTGGTTCTCACAAGGATTTACTTGTTTGCTCAAATCTATATGGAAAAGGCCAAACAGACCACACCCGAGTCCTTGCTGGACTAACATAGGACCCCGTCTGCCAAATGCATCTGTGGCATTCAATGTCCAGCCAACCAGTCATGTGAGACACTGAGTTCAAAGCTACCCGTTCACCACAGACTGACCAGCCTAGTGTGATTAGTTCAAGTCTCAGAACGGCGAGCACCCAGCTTTCCCTCTGAAGGACTCTTCCTTCTCACCACTATTCCTAAGGTCAAGTTATTGCCCGCCAGTGCAAACGTGAACCCCCGCTAGCCCAGAAATCTGTTAAGTGTGAGTGTTTGGATGAAGACGATGATCTTGCCAACTTACGTGGAACTGGTCTGGGGCTGTTCAAATGCTTCTTTGGGAATTTTGAGGCCAGGATTTCGCTTCTTGCCTGCAGGGAAGGACATGAGGAGAACGTTAGGGTCCGTATCACAGCACTAGCACAGGGACAGGGACGGCAGCAGCAGGAGAGGGCTGACCTGGGACCGTATCTCTCATCTCCCCATTCAGGGCTCCACTCCCTGCCCAGGAAGTCTGTGAGTGACAAGTGCCCACACACCAGGCTGAGCAGAGCTGCAGTCATGGATGAGGTTTTCCCCAGTCCCGGGTGACGATGTCATTTGAAGAATGCCAACTCTTGGCCTGGCCGGCATGCTCAGTGGTTGAGTGTCGACCTATGAACCAGGAGGTCACAGTTTGAATCCTGGTCAGGGCACATGCATGGGTTTCGGGCTCAGTCCACAGTGTGGGGTGTGCAGGAGGCAGCTGATCTATTCTTCTCTCTCATCATTGATGTTTCTATCTTTCCCTTCCCCCTTTTCTCTGAAATCAATAGAAATATATATATATATTTTTTTTTTAAAAAAAAAAAGAAGGAACGCCAACTCTGTTTATCTAGGACAACCTCGCCTTTCTCCCTGATGGGAATTTGTCATTCCAACTTCTCTCTTGTACAGAACAATGGTAATGGTAGACAGTGTTGGTTATAGGTGTGTGTTTGTGTGTGTGTGTGTGTGTGTGTGTGTTTTATGTCAGTGAAACGCAGTCACCCTTATCACAGTATCCCACAATTTTCTAAATCCCCTGTGAAGAACGGATAGAAAACCATGGAGGTAAAATAAAAAAATACTTTCCCACCGTCTGCCCTGCCCATTCTCAACCGCCTGCCAGAAGCTGAAACACCTGAGAGAGAAATAGAATAATATTTATTTACATTTGCCCTGTTCCAAAAAGGATTAAGATAACAGATGGGCTCATGCGAGGAAGTTATCACTTCTCTGGGAGCCAGATGGGTGCGTAACCGATGTGTTCATCGCTGGGCTGAAACCACAAGAAGGCCGAGCGCAAATTATTCTGTAGATGAGTAAAAAGAACAGACTGAGAAGCGCCAGGTCAGGAAGCAGATCTGAGAAAATCGCTGTGGAAGGGCCGGGGATTTTCCTCATCACAGAGATCCTAGGTGTCTCCCGGCGCCAAAGCAGAGCTGGATAGAACGCCCAGGCTGCCACTCTCCTTCTCACCATCTCCTGCAGGCTGCCGGTGAGCACGCGGAGCTGACTCGGGCGCTGGACAAGGTCCTGGGAGGGATTCTGCAGATGCAGGACTTTAGAAATCAAGCCTTGTACCTGCTGTCTGGACAATGACTTCCAAAGACTCCAGGGACTGCTCACCATCACAGAGCCAGCTATGACCCAGTCAGAATCGGAATCCAGGTTTCTGGACCCCCAGGTCAGAGCTCTTTCTACTGTTCCACAATGGAAGAAGTTTAGAGATGACCAGAGAGAGGGGGTGGTGAAAGTATGGGATTTTTAAGAAATATATATTTTTATTGATTTCAGAGAGGAAGGAAGAGGGAGAGAGAGACAGAAACATCAATGATGAGAGAGAATCATTGATTGCCTGCCTTCTACACACCCCACACTAGGAACTAAGCTGCAACCCGAGCATGTGCCCTGACCAGGAATTGAACCAATGACTTCCTGGTTTGTAGGTCGACGCTCAACCCCTGAGACACACTGGCTGGGCTGAAGTATGAAATTTTGAGTTAAAAAAACAAACAACTTTCTACTCAGTCGGTGACCTCAGTGTCACTTTTCCTCTGCCTTTCCATCTTCTCAATTGTAAAATGAGGAAGTAGCATCAAGACCTACCTTATTAAACTAATATGAGAATCAAATGGGATACCTATGAAAGGGCACTGAGATACCTTAAGTAGCTGTTAATTATAATCATTCAGAGAAAGAATCTGTACAGTCATATTAATGAGTAAGTCATGTAAGACAGTGATGAACAAAACTGACCATATTATCAAAGCCCAATGCACTTTGTAATTGAGTCTTTTTTTTTTTTTTACTTCCCGTGCATTCAAAATCAAAAATCTAGTTCAATTCTGCCAGGGTACAAAGCCAGGGGGAAAAGCCTTTTAGGACCACCTTCATTATAACAGGTTCCCTCCTCCTGTCGGCTTATCTGTACGTTTTATCAGATTCAACACTCACCATTGACTGTCTTACACCTGGAGCTCAGGGCCATTTAGCACGTTACTAAATTAGCCAGTTGCTGACAATACCCCATGCTGTACTGTGACCCACCAAGAATACTAAGGGTGGGGCCTGATTGTGAGAATCCAAATACTAGATAAATGGCCTAATTCCCATCTATGGGCCTCCATCAAACAGGAGGGGAACACTATGTTAAATGAGATAGTCTAGTACCCAATGAACAACAAATCCAGAGAGCTAGGTACACATGCCAGTATAGGGGACAGGTGATACCGGCAATCCTAATAGCTACACTCCTATACTTCCCTTGACATTCTGAAGATAAACCTAAACAAGCATAAAAACTATTGGACCTGCGAGAAAAACCCTCCAGGTGTCATTTCAGCAAACCCAAAGCAGATGTTATTCCTCAATTCCTACATTTCTCTCTCCTTCCCTTCTTCTAACTCAGCTCTTACAAGATACACAACACAAGAAATAGCTCTTTATGGAGAAAACCTCTTTTGCCAAACTTTAACAGAGCAAATGAATTACTACACCATAGCAATGAATTATTAGCCATTCGTTAGTAGTCATCCATCGTTACACTCTAACTCCACACACTCAACACATCTATACAACAAAATAGTCAACGAGAGAAAGAGAGATACCTTGTGGCTCGGAGACTAATTGGAATAAAGGACCGAGACAACAACAAAGTCTTGCGGGGGGTGAGAAAGGCCCGGGTTCTCTTCTGACGGCAAAAAGACAAGTAGTTCCAGGAGACACAAAACCTAGCTGGATTACAAGGCTGGAAAATACCCTGCCTTCCTTTTAAGAAGTGGACCAAATGGCACAAAATTCACACACACACACACACACACACCCCACATTCCATAATTCACTTACGTGCTTGCCACTGCAAACACAGCCCCGCAAGAAGCCGGCGCGAGTGACTCTGGTGAGGTTTTGAAGGCTGCACGGAGGGTTGGCGGGCGGAGACCCCACCGAAACCATGCTTTGCTTAGCTCCCGAGACCACAGCGCAGCAGAAGGAAGCAGCAGCGAGCAGACTCCACCCTCCTCGAGTGCGGATCTGATCGCAGCAAACCTCTGGGAGTTTATTGTTCCCGGGAAACTGCAACTTCAGAAAGAGGGAAGGGAAGTGGGCCCATCTGGACAGCAAGGCGCGACATTAATCATGACCCAGACCCGGAGGAATCAAACTATAAAAGTAATTCTGCACAGGACAGCCTTCTGTGGCCTTTCTATATAAATGCCCCTCTCCTTTCTTAAAAGGGAGAAAAACAGTATGTGGTCCATGTTGAGCTGCGTTGATTTCAAAGCAGTCTGTTTTCCTGCTGGCCAGGCTGCCAACCCCAGACGCTCACGTTGGATACGGTGGGACAAAAAATTAACGAGGGAGCAATATGAATAATAAAGCAAAGTGGCCGAGGATGTTAAACAGCCTTTTCCCTTGATATGCTAAAGCAAAAATGACCAAAAAAAGTACATCCGAACGTAGGCAGATGAACATAGGCTCTATTTATGTTACATGCTAGCAACAAGCCTTCTCAGAAAGAGAGAATTCCGTGAATTTCTGGAGGTCTCAACAAGCTTTGCCCTTTTATTGGTGCAATCTGCAAAGGGCGAGCCTCCCCGGCCTGACCTAGCATAGGCAGGACGGTGTGACATCAGCCCGTGTCACACCCATGCCTGTTTTCTCTAAAAACATTGTAGTCGCGCCGTCCCCCCCCCCCATACACACACACACACACACACACACACACCCATATATTTGCAAAATTCATCTTAGACCAAAGCTGGGTCACTGTGATCTTGGCCTGGAACAAAATGGCACTGGGGGGGAAAAAAATACACCAAACCTTGCCCATGGTTAGAAAACATTTACCAGGCCACAGAAATGTTAGCTCGCTTTGCCCGTCCCGAAAATGATGGGGTACACAAGACCTCTTGCTCAGTGCCCACTCGGAGAGGCAGAGCATAAAGGGCTTCTCTCATGTGCCTTATTACATAAAACAGGGGATCGAGCTCCTGTGCCAACCCAAACAGGGACAGAATCCCACAGGGTCAACAAAAGGTGGCATCGTGAGGATATGCTGACACCCAAATATTTGTCATCTTGGCTGACGGTGGGGGGGTGGGGGGAGGTGGGCATAATGATGAGGGTTTATGATTACTGACACAGCTTTACAAAAGGATGGCATTGCTCCCAGGGCCAAAGTCATTTTTTTTTAAAAAAACCTGTTTCCCCATGTGAATGGGGTTGCCGGCCAAGTAACTGGCAACCTGGAGGCCTTGGCTGCCCTCTCCTTAATCCTTGCATCTAGGCTTAAGTCCCAAGGGGAGCTGGCAGGAAAACCGGCAGAGAAGTGTCATTCTGTGTTGTTAAATTGCCATGATCGGATGCAAAGCAACGGAGGAAGCAGGGCAGATGGAGGGGGTGCAGGGGGGACGCTGGCTCTGCGAAGGTGACATGAAAGTGGGCACCCTCGCTCCCGTCCCCCAAATGCTGGATCTCGTCCACCCCGGAGAGACTCCAACCAGTCTGCCAGGTGTCCTGGGGATTACATAAAAGTTCGAGAAGGGAAGTGCAAAGCTACAATGTGCAGTCATTTTGATTTCAAGGGGGCAGCTGAGTCTGGACTTTAGCTTCGTGTTCCCAGCGCCTACAGGGCTGCAGTCCCCTGGTAGACAGGAACTCAACCTTCCGAACTCACCTCACCCACTGCACACCCCACGGGACCTTCCCAGACCTTCCGAAAATCACTGTCCTCGCTGACCGACATCTAGCACAGTGTGAACTGGGTGCCACTTTCCCAGATCTCCAGCATTTTAGTTTAAAATGCCCACTGTGTCGCCCAGCCGACATGGCTCAGTGGTTGAGCATG